GGGGGGGGGGGGTGGTTTGTGGTCTTTATCTGGGATTCCTGGGCTAAATTTCAGAAACTCATATTCAAGCAAATTTGTCAATGATGGTTCTATTCCGAGCACCAAGGCAATAAATGATTTCAAGGAATCAAGTTCCATTAACCATCTTTGTATTACCTCTGATCATTTTGCATGTCCCACAAAGAGAGATGGCACATAGTTGCCACCTTGAACAATTACTAATTGGCCCAGAAGAAACTTTCCTTACTTCTTAAATAACAGCTAAGAAACAATATATTATTAATCTATTGGGGAACATAAAGACCATCCAAACTCAAGGTTTCATCAACCTTCTGAACTTGTGCAATAAACTCTTACAATGTGAAAGGTTCATGTTCACCCTGCAATCAGGAGGTTTGCAGAATTGAAGAAAGTGGGTGTTGGAAGGGTAGAGGACCAGGGCAAACTAGACTCTAAGCCCTTTGAACACGCTTGGCCATTTTGAGCATGCTTAACAAAAGACTGGCTAAAGGCCTGGCATCTAATTGAACTATTGAAGAGAGCATCATGATAATATATATATATATATATATATATAGTTCCATATTATTTCAAAGGAATGCAACATTAAAAAAAGATCAGGTATGGTAAACAAAATCAACGTATTCAATGCATATGCAATCATACTAACCGTTCAAAAAGCCTCTCAATTGTCTGAAATTGCTTTTCCGATGAAAGAAGAGTTTCTCTTACACTAATGAGACTGCTAACATATGATTTCAAAGACTCAAAATCCCGCTTAACACGAGTAAGCTCTTGTTCATTTTCTGCAGCTCGTTGCCTCTGCCTTGACGTTTCCTCAACTAAATCCTCAACCCTCTGCCTCATTTCATTAAGAATACCATTTGTTCCCAGAGCAAACCTTTCCATTTCTTCCAACTTTAAAGACATCTTTTCAATTTGGATTGCCTTCCTTTTAATTTCTTCCTGACCTGAAGTTACTTTCTCTTTCTCAATAGCAGTTTCTGATTCTGCCATGATGACCCTCTTAACAAGAACTTCCATTACATCTGTGACCATTTTCACAGATTTGAGCAATTCAACAATATAAGCTCCATCTTGCTCATCTAAAGAACCTTGATCTCTAGTAATTCTCATCCATGTTTCTTCATCTGGACTGTCAAATGAAGAGAAATCAACACTCCTGGACCAATCAGACAATGGCGTATCATTTTTGTCCACAAGACCTACCCCTTCCAATTGTTTGATGCCACATGACATGTGGGCTAAATCAGGAATGGCCATTGCTCTTGCCTTGGATTTCAAATAGGTCAACAAAATTGCAGCAGCTTTTACCCTTCTCCAAAGAACCTCTAGTTCCTTTTTTGACTCTTCCTCTGACCCCTGAATGCTGGTCTTCACCTCCATAATTTTGTCCTGTAATACATCAACTTGGGATTGGCTTCGCTCCATCTCCTGCTTCCAAGTTTCATGAGTTTCACTTAACTGAGACTGCAGACTTGACAAGTTGATATCTCCCTCTGCTCCCATACCTTTCCTGAGAAATGCAGAAAGTGTGTGAGAAAAAAACCATGCTTTTAAGTTTAATAGAATGAGCAGCTCATAATCAAGATGAAACATTAAAACACAGTTTGGACCCATTGTTTATTCCAATGGGTGACTCATGATCAAGACAAATATCCTAACAACTTGCAAATGACAAGTGCAAAAACAGGGTTACATTGCACTAACAAGGCATAGTGGCATAATTATGATTGTTTTACTTCCAAACCAATATAATCTCTCTATGATGCACATTTTGGTTGCCCTTCCATCTAAACTAAACTCAATAATATGACTTGCTAAGATCTATTTCTCACTAATAGTTTCACCATCTGGTTATAGAATCAAAATAAAGATCACTGAAGCAGGCAAAAACAAAGTCTGCATAAAATAATGCTTATCTGAGATACTACGAATAATGCTTAACATAATCAGCATTTCTGCTGCTTTCAAGGCTTAAACCAGTTACTGCAGGCTCAAACAACCACAGATCCAAAGCAATTTCGAGCTCAAACTCCACATTACTTCATTGCTATTCTTCCAAACAAACATTTAAAATCAAACTAGAAAACACTAACACAAAGAACGCAATTAAAACCCTAATTCCTAATCATCAATCAGCTGATCAAATGCAACAATCATGTTATGTTATTAATCAAACCCTAACACCTCAAACTAATAACCGAATATAATGAAGCAAAACCAGAAGATGATACAATTTACATCAATCAAAAGGAAACGAAACGAAGATCAATCAAAGACAAACCAGAACTTTTTCCCGAGAAAATGATGCAGATGGAGGAAGGAACAGAGAATATACCTCGTGATCGGGAAGAAGGATGGCGTGGGTTTGACTCCACCAAGAAGTGAATTGATAGGATCGCCGCTGCTCTGTGGTGGGTTCTAACAGGCGTTCTGTTGAAGAAAAGCGAACCAACTACAGAGAGAGACGGTGTTTGGCACCAAACCGAACGCACCTTCTCCTCTCTTCTTTCCTTTTCTCGTTCTTTATTTCCCTGTTCTTATCCTTTTAATTATTATTTTCATTATTTTCTTAATCACCTGTTTTTATTTTTAAATAAAGCTTTATGATTTTTTTTTATATGCAGAGATTAGAATTAAGTCTTAAAGATGCAACTTAACTTGTAACTAAAAGTACAGGTAGTTTTGTGCATAAAAAAAAAAGTACAGGTAGTTTTAGTATAGAAATATATGGCTAGTGATAATATTTATATTATTTTTCTATCGTTAAAAACCACATTATGAGTGGTAATATCTATGTTTATCAGATTAATGTAGGAATGAGTTTTTTTTTTTATTTTGAATTACATCATGAAAAACAATTATTTTTTGTTTATTAACTCACTTTATTTATATGTTATAAAATTTAAATTTAAAATTTTTTATTTTTATAAAAAAAATTATTATTAAATTATTTAAATTATTGAATGTCCAAACAATTTTTTTAAATTGCTGCAATTAACAAAAGGCTTGGTTCAGGGCTTACTTGCTATTCCAATGAAAAAAATACTCAGTAACTTAAAACTTGGGTTCTATTCTCGTGTTCTCCTTTCCCAAAATTTTCTACTATCGACAAAAGAAAAAAAACTTGCGTTTTATTACAAATATACAAACTCAAAACTTGAGCACTAGTGATATTTCTGTGGAAGACTTGGGCACAGATGAAATGGTGATTAGGCTGCACAGAAGGCCAGTGAAGAGGGCAGTGTTGTATGTGGGTAAAAACTTACTTTTAGCCTTTTCTCTTATTAGATTAGTAAGTTTTAACTCATCACCTTATATTATAATATTTTTTTATTAAAATTAAAGAAAATAGCTTTCACTTATAATATTTTATTAGTTTTGTTAGCTGATTATTAATTCTATTAACTAATTATTAGCTGACTGTTAACTGACAAAAATTTACTTTCAACTAATAGAATTAACAATCAACTAAAAGAATTATTTTATTAGCTGATTGTTAACTTTTTTAACTGAATGTCAATTGGTAAAAATATATTTTCAGTTAATAAAAATAACAGTCAATTAATAAAATTGACAGTAAATTAATAGAACTAATAAAATATTATAAATTGAGTGTTATTTTTTTCAATTTTAATAGATGATGAGCTAAAAGCCTCATAATATAATATAAAGTAAGAGTTAAAACCTACTAACCTAGTAAAGTAAATAATCAAAAATAGGTTTTTGCTTGATTGTGGTAGGTTCACATTGAGTTGTTCCGATAATCAATATAGGTACATTGGGGAAGGGACCGCCAACCGGTGCCCCTTGAGCTACATTTGGGTTAGGATCATCCAAGTAGAGCCATTTGAATCCATCCTTGCAGCCAGGAGCGGCATCAACTGGAATTGAAGATCCCCTGTGGTGTACATATTGAGGATAGCTGCTTCCATACCCAACAAGATAGCTCATCTTCATTGCATTTTCTCCCAAGACATAATCCACCTGAGAGTACGTACAAATGGTCATAATTCATACAACAAAAGCATAGATATCCCTCCAAACGATGATTTAAGTGGCAGTTTGGATAAATTATGACTTCCTTTAGCCCCAGCCCCAGTTTAGGTGAAAATCCATCCATGTAATGTACCTGTGACATGGTAAACTTGCGAACATCATCTGGCTTGTAGAAATTCCCACTGCAATACAGTGTTTCAGTCTGTGATGTAAGCATGTAATCACTATAAAGAACAGCAAGGAAAATGCAGAAGCCACAGGGTGCTGAAGTGAGTTCCATTGTGTAATCCATATCAAGCTACCTACAAGTCAACAATAATTGATAATTTAGACGGGGATTAAGATCTTATCTGAATTAGCTACTGCTTGGACCATGATGAATCTTATTATAGATTGAAATTAATAAAATTACCGGACCAACTTTACTAAATCAGCAATGAATATTACTCTTTGTTCAGTTGGATGTGGCAGTTGGTGAGTCTGGTCGAAGACTACAGACAATGGCCTCAGCAGTTTCCCTATATATCTGGCGATCAAGGTTCTCAGGAATTGATGTTTCATTTGCACCAAGTTTACTCTGGACAGCAAGACCTGATCTCCAACATTAAAACATAAGACTTACTGAGGTCAGTCAGATATATCTTTATTCTTGACATTTAATGTTCAAATGACGTATCTGGATCATGAATATTACCTGAGTTGCAGCATGCTTGTCGTCCCAATTAAACCAAGTAGGACTTCCCCAGCCCGCAAATGCTTGACCATTTTGCTTAGTTATATATTCAAGATATGACTGTTCTTTAGTTGCATGATAAAGCCAGGAAGCTGCCCACAAGAGTTCATCTCCATATCCTGTGGAGTTGTAGTATTTCTGCACTTGCGGAACACTGATGCTATAAGAACCTCTATAAGTACTAGCAAAATTGAACAGTTGCTTGGCATGCATTAGGAGCAAATCAGAATAAGATGAGTCAATTTTCTTGAAAACAAGGGATGCTGATGCCATAGCTGCAGCAGTTTCTGCTGCAACATCCGAGCCCTGGTATGAAATATTGATCTGTGTTAGAGACCCTTCCTCTGTCATGGTTTCAGGTCTTTCCCAACATCCACGGTCCACTTCAGGATCCCCAACCTTCGACCATAGACAGAGAAAGATTAAAGGTTTACTAGAACTGGATCCATTATTAAAACTGGAAATTCTAGCAATTAGGCATTAGCTACCTGGATGTAGAGCACATTTGCAGAAGGATGAGCATTGATGAGGAAATTAGTGATCCACGTAAGGGACTCCTGCGCATATCCCAGTTGCTTCACTGCATTCATCCTATCACCGTACTCGAGAATTGCCCAGGACAACACTGTTGCAGTAAACGCCATTGGAAAACCAAACTTGATCAAATCACCAGCATCAAACATTCCATTGGATAAGTCCAAATTTGCATCCTCCCCATCTAACAACCCCGAATCCCCCCTCCATCCAATCCCATTCTTCACCAGTTTACCAGCTGCAAGAACAAGTCATCAGCTGTAAGTAGCAGAAATCAAAAGACATACAGTTTTGTCTAAAGTTACGTATACTTTTGCACGTCGAAGAATTGTAGAGATATTTCAAGGGCATCTGTGTATTTGTTCAGTATAGCATGGGAATGATTATGATCTGAGGCTTGCTTGCGGAGATGAAAGTAGGTTAGAATGGTGTACACAGCCACTGCGACAACAAAAGCAACCAAAACAAACACAAGTGCCCTCAAGAACCACCCTTTGAATGATTTTGTTTCATCGGCTCCTTCTCTTCCCATTTTCTCTCCAGCAAAACCCTCCGATTATTTGCTACGTTTTAACATTTTATGCTTCAGAGAAACAGACAGAAGGATGAATATTCTCTAAAAGTTAAGATGCTTTAAACTTATATTCAGAGAACAAATGATTTGTTGGTCAAAGAGAACAAATGATTTTGATACTACTGAATAAGAAAATGCCATTTGATTTCAAGGAAGCTCGGTATTAGGACGGAAGTTATGCCGTTCTGTAGAAACAGACAACGTTGTCAAGGCAGAGGCGTGTTATCTAAAACGACCCTGACAGATTGGTTCGGCGGCAGCAGGCTAACAGGATCCAAAGGCTTCTGTTATAATGACATACTCCCATCTTATATTGATTCTTCAGGCAAAATTGCATTGAATTCATCAAAAAATCTTATTTTATCCTGTCCTTTTCTTAAGTTATCTTGGGAAAGAAGTCAAGATAGTTCATGTGCATAACATGGAAATGCATATCATGCATCCATTCATAATGAACAAAAATATCAAAATAATTAGGATTCCTGGAATCTAAATGCCATGAAAAGGCAAAGTCATTGAATTGATGGATTATTTACGTGAGATGATGAGACTATATTCTTAGTTCTTATATTCTTATTTTAAGATAATTACAAAAAAAATTGTGGAAAGATGACATTGCAATATGGAGTGTTGAAGGCCGGAAATAGGAAATTGTGAATTGTGAAAAGTAGAAAGTCAGGTAGCAATGCGGTTTTTCGATCCTTTCTCCAAGATGAGACATAGTATATTTAAAAGTGTGGCACTACCTTTTCCTCTTTCAAATTATTAAAATTTTTATTATTAGTCATGTAATATGATAATAAAGTTATATATACTTTTAATTACATATTTAAAATTTAATTTTTAGTCTTTACAAAAAATAAAATAAAACAAAATTTATATTATAGATTTATTATTATTATTATTATTATTATTATTATTATTATTATTATTATTACTTTTACAATATACTAAAGAAAATAAGATAAAATAGGATGACAACAGATGATGAGACCATACCAACATGCTCTGAGTTCAATAACATGTGAGAGTTTAAAAACGGAGTAAATGGTCAAGGTAGTCCGTCTCGAATTTGGTTGAATTTGGTTTCAATGCTTGAGATTTTTTCAGATAGCTCCTCCGTCCGTGCCTTTGTTTCCTGAATTTTGAGGGATTTGGATTCGTCCTCGCAGCCTTTCACTTCTTTCTCCATCTTCTCAATGTCCTGAAGATTTTTACCCCTTTCTTCCTTCAGGGAGGAGCAATGCTTGGCGAGCGGCAATGCCTGAGTAATCTCATCTAGCCTTTTATTAAGCCAACCGACTTCCACCTTCAAATATTCGAGGTCGCGAACACTAGTAATCATTGATTCAAGTTCAACTTCTGTCAATTCTTCGAATTCAACAGCTTGTAGTCTTTGAATGATTCCACAAACAACCTCCAACAGCGATGATAGGCATTGCATGGAATTCAAGGAGCTGTTCTCAACAATGTTCCCATGTTTCAAAAACACATTTTTAAGTATAAGTGCCAAGTCTGCCTTCACTCTATACTCCCTAACTGAATCACAACCAACAGCAAGGAATGTAGTTGCGTTGGAAGAGTGCTCATTTTCCGTATCCTTCTTTGGCCTAATGCCATTCTTTTCTTCCAGCCTTCTATCCTCTATAGATGTAATTTGGAATCGTGCTTGTGATACCTGACAGGTCAATCAGGAGGCAATTGTTAGAGTACACACATAAAAGAGTTACTTAAATGAAGCTGGAAATTCAAAGATTCAACCTTGCTCTCCAGAAATGCAATTAAGCCTTCTAGACAAACTTCAGGATCTTTGCTCTTCATCAATTCACCTGCAACTTCAGCAGGGGAAGCTTTAGCATTTTCAATAAGCTCTTCAACACGGCCAAAATGATCATGGTTGAAAATGTTTAAGTAGTTTGCTGCAAGTTGCTTGAAAGTAGAGAACGTGCAGTAGGACAAGCATATGTGCCTGTCCATGCGACCTGCTCGAAGCAATGCTGGATCAATTCGTTCCTTATAATTAGTAGTGAAAACAACGATCCTTTCATTTGCACAGCATGACAATAGACCATCAATGGCATTCAGAAGTCCAGAAAGTGTCACCTATATAAAGAATCACATTAACACAACAAATTTAATAATCACCCTTTCTTTTTCTAAATTGAAAAAACGAAGAAAGAAAATTTCTATTCTATTTACTGTGGCGAGGAAGAATTAAATTATCACTATATTTATTTCGTTTCTACTTCTTCCAAGTGCAGGCGGGTTTCTCATATCAATTGCAGGCTTGCAGCCCCTTCCTGACCACCACATGCAGATGGTCTACAAGGTTCATAACTACTCCCCTTACTACAGGACGCTTACGCAGCCAACATTTAGATCCAACCCCACCCAAACTCTTCTGGTTCACCCCAACAGTCCCCACTTGTCCGACTGTTGCTGAGCAATTTTTGGATGTCAAACGGACTTCCTCTCCAGAATGTAATGTTAACGTCGCCCACTTCTCTTTTGCCATCAGTTTCGCCACAGTACTCCACTGCTCTAGTTAACTGTCCAGCTTGGAAAAATGTGATTTGTTTGCTACGTATGGCCCTGCCTAAGGGCATATCGGTTGAAGTCATGCATACAAAATCCATAAATAAAACCCGAAATTCTTTAGGAACAAAATAAAATTTGGGATTTGGGTATAACCTGGACTCGAGGAAAGCTATCAACTTGCTCCCCTGCTTCGCGGTTCTGTAGTTTGATGGTGCAGTCAATGTCTTCGACGACAATAATGGAACGATTGGAGACTTGGAGCAACAGATCCTCCAGAACGGAATCAGATTTAACAGCAGATAAATTTAAGTTGTAAATGTCAAAGTTGAGATGATTCGCCATGGCTGCAATCAAGCTTGATTTCCCTGTTCCCGGTGGACCATATAGAAGGTAACCGCGCTTCCACAGCCTGCCAATCTTCTTATAGTACTCTTTTCCGTTGATAAAGCTATTGAGATCATCCAATATGTTCTTCTTGAGATCGGCATCCATGGCCAGAGTCTCGAACGTCATCGGATGGTCAATATTAACGGCACTCGGGCACCACCAGTCCCGCCTGATTATGTGGAACTTCACCGTTCGGGTTTGGTCCTTCAATCGTTTGGCGGTGTCGAGGACGTGGGGAAGGTACTCGCTCTTCACAATCTCGGCGTGCTTTTTGTTAAAACATAGCTCGTACCATCTCGTTTCGATCTGCGTGGTAGCGCTGAAATCCAATCTAAATTTCCATTTCATGGGCACCCCACGAAATAAATCCACAATCTCGGAGTTTTTGTCGAGCGCGTAAGTAAAATTTCTGACATTTTCGCTCTTCCCCACGAGGAACCTTTGTGGAGAACCACCAGTGGAATCAAAAACAGTGGCAGAAGCCAAGACATGGCCGCCGAGGTAGATAGCAGCGGCTTTGAAGAGAGAGTTGCTGGAGCTGCCGTGGGTTCTTTCAATAACCAGTGTGAACTCGGACGAGAAACGCTGGGTGAGATTCCATAAGTACGCTCGCACCTCTTGTGGAATCAATTCTCTGATGGTGCTACGGATGATGGTGAAAGCACCTAACAAGGAGAGCACGGAAGCCATAATGTCTGATTCTGCTGCCAGCAAGGCGGTGATTAAAGTCCCAGCAGCCGCCGTAGTTGGCGACTAGAGCAGAGAAACAGTGGGAGTAGTTGGTGATTAAAGCCCCAGCAGCCGCCGTAGTTGGTGATTAAAGTCACGGTTTTGTGGGGATAAAATTTCGTGGCAAGCTGCAAGGGAATGACAGAAAAATAAGGAATCCAAGTCAGCAAGAATCAGAGGAGTTTTATGATGGAAAATCTAAATAAATCTATAATATAATAATATAATATGTTATTATTAATTCATTTTATTAAAAATTTTAAGTATAATATTATATATATTTATTTAATATTATATTAAAGTTATTTAACTTGTATATTAAAATATAAG